GGGGCATCTTCTTGATGAGTGATGTGGGAGGGCCCAGCCCACTGTGGGTGGTGCCACCCTGGGCAGGTGGCCCTGTGTTGCATAAGAAAGCAGGCTGAGCAGGGGCCAGGGGAGCAAGCCAGTAAACAGCGTTCCTCCATGGCCTGTGCTCCAGGTCCTGCCTCCAAGTTCCTGCCCTGAGTTCCTACCTTGGGCTCCTGATGAACTACGACCTGGGAGATGTAAGCTGAATAAACCCTTTCCTCCCCAAGTTGGTAGTGGTCAGAGTGTTTTGTCACAGCAGTGAAGAAACAAACCTGTTAAAATACAGGACCTCTCTGAGACTCAGAATTTTTGAGGAATTGTCAGCAGGGAGAATTTTGATTTCAAGTTTTTCTAGTGAGTAATTAAATCACAGTTTCTGCTGTGTTGAGGTAGAAGACATCACCATGGGCCCTGAGTGACCACACTGAATTATTCACACCAGTGAGCAAAGCAGAGGAGTCTGTTCTTTCTCAGTGCCACTCACAGTAATTAGGGTCCTCATACGTGTGAAAACCAATTAAAAGATGTCCTGCTTTGGGGCAGATCTTGAGTAACTTACTAAGCTTCCATGGAAATATCGCCAACAGGCTGAGCTTCCAGTGGAAGCAACAAACCAGGTGTGACAGCTTGTCCCCATGCCTACGTGCCACTGTCAGGAAGGTCTTGTTCTGGGTCTCTTCTTGTGGTTTTTTGAAGGCCTGGCCAAAGGGGTCCATGTAATTGTGATCATTTTTTAAAAAGAGAAGGCTGTTTAAATCAAACTTCCTTGAGAACATCTTCCTCATATCTTGGGGAGACTTGGAATCTCCAACACCAAGAATGTGACTGATGACAATCTTCCATCACTGAATCCAGCAAGGGTTAGCCGGGCAGGCGGGGGGGGTCTACTTGCTGCTGGGGAGAGGCACTGAGACCCCAGGCATCAGCTGCAGGAAGCTGCCTTGCCTCCCTGCTCTCTGTGTCTTAGGAACTCACACGGAGGAGTGGCTTCCTCAGGCTTACAATGGCGACCCCATTTTGGACCTGTGTTTCTTTCCATGTTGCCTCAGGAAAACTATAGTAAAATGTCAGGCTTTCACTGCAGTGGACATTTGAGTTGTAACAGCGTCTGCTGTTCTGTCTTAGAATTCTGAGGGTGATGCTCAAACGCTGACGGAAGTAGACCTTTTCATCTCCACCCAGAGGATCAAAGTTTTAAATGCTGACACACAGGTAAGCTCTTGAAAGACACGTTTTCCAGAATCATATAAGCCAACCGCTAGGACCAGGGCCTCAGGAGAGCAGTCTCATTGCAGAGTACTTTCCCCAGGGCAGCGACTATGCAACCTCGGTCTTGAGTGGGTTATGGCTGTGGAAATTGGAATGAGCTGCTGTGGCCTGACGAGTGTCAGGCTAGAAGGACAGAAGCCACTGAGAACGAGGAAGCTACTGCTAAATTGATGGAGACATGAAATGCAGGGCAAAGCTGAGGGCTGAGGGAGTGTGAGCTCCACCAGTTAGGGCTATCAAAGGACCTCCTGAACCCCACGTTCCCCAGTCCAGCTGGAGAGTGGAAATATCAAGGGCCGTGGTTTCCACATACTGTCAGTCTAGCTTCCTTCCCTGGCATAAATCACTATGTTGACTGTACCTTTGGTGGGGACGACAGGGAAACACACAAATAGGGATAGAGTGGCCATCTAAGAAATAGGACAGGGGAGCTGATACTGGTGTGAGATGGTGAGAGTCTGGGACTGCTGGTGAGGTGCAGGGGTGGGAAAGGCCCCCAGGCATGACCTTCTCAAAGAGAGGACAGCCCCACCCACCTTGGCCCAGGTGAGAAGAGCTGATGCCCAGAGAAAAGGCACCTTTGTTTTTTTATCTTTGTCAGGGAATCAGGCGGTGACACACTGGATCCTCTGGGTCCCTGATTCCCAACAGGTTGACATTTTTACCATCCACTCATGGTTTTACCTGCATCACTTACAACATAGAGAGTGAAAAACATTGATTTTATAGTGTTGTCACACTTTCTATTGTTGATCAGCATTCTTCTATGAAAACATGCTTTGTGTTTTTGTTCTTCCCCTCCCCCTTTTCCACTGTTACCTCTGGGACTTTTGTTGTCATTTATGGTATCACTTTGGCCCCTTTCCTTCAGTGATTGAACATTTCCTCATTTGCTGAGACAGTACAATGTTCTGAGCTCACCTTGTACTCTACTTAGACTTGAGCCAGCTATTTTTTTCTGGGCCCCATAGTTTTCTTTAGTGAACAGTGATATATAGAAACAAGGACCTGGGTGCTGGCTTGTGCGCCTTGTTTCTGGGGTGTGTCATCGCTCCTGGACCCTGTGAGTTCACGGAGCTAGATGGCGCATATACTTTTAAAAGCGATGAATTCATACTTTTTCCTCTATTGGGGACTATAGAGCTCTCCTTCCACATCTGTACACGCCTTCGTCTTGTAGTATAGACTCTGGTTCCCAGCATCAGCATGTTTCTGTAATTTAGTTAACTTTCCATCACTTGGAAAAAAATGCCTGAGATCAACTGCAAAAGAGGGAAGGTTTGCTTGGCGCACAGTTTGGGCAGTTTCCATCTCCAGCCTGTTGGTCCCACTGTTTTCACACCTGTGTTGAGGCAGTCTGCAAAAGTGTGCAGTAGAGGAAGTTGGCTGATTATTGCATAGTGGCTTGAAAGTGAAGGGAGAGAAAAGGAAGGTCTGAGGGTCCAATTATCCTCTCAAGAGTGAGTCCCTCCCCCAGTGATCTGCCTATTCCACTAGGCCCTACCTCTTAAATTCTACCACTTTGTAATAGCCCTGCAGTGGGGCCAGATCTTCAACAAAGAAGCCTTTGGGATGTTCCAGATCCTACTGTATCAATCAGAGAAGGGAAAGGTGTCTGTGAAGTCCAGGAGAGACCTGCTACACTTCTGGAGTCTTGTTACCATAGACTTCGAGTTCCCTCAGAATGAGTGTGCTCACCATGTGACGTGTGTCTGCCAGGGAGGTGTCCCAGTGCCCAAGGTCCTTCCAGGGGGTTTGTTCACATAGGGTCCCTCTGCCCATTATGTAAAAAGACTGGACTCCCAGGAAGAAAAGAGGTGTCCAGCTTATGCCAGCCATACTGTTTGTACAAACAGTTCAGGCAGCAAGACTCACACTCAGCTGTTAGGGTAGTGGCAATGCTCCTGAAATCTAGTTCTCAGATGTCAGCTGAGGGTGGGTCTTGCAGGCAGGACTTTCTTGGGAGCACCCTTTAGCCTATGGTGGTAACTCATCTCTGTACCCCAGCCCTGGATGATGCTTATGCCAGGATGCTACCACCCAGGGACAGGAAGATGGACCATTGGTAGCTAGTGAGCTTGCTCCAAGTCACTGTTTAGAAGGAACTGGAAAAGAGGTGGCAGCAGGAATCTGGTTTGAGTGGAAAACTGAAACATTGGCAGAGGGCTGAAGAGTAGGAACAGGTGACTGAATAGAGACTGAAGTGGCCAGGCAGGACCAATGATAGCAAGGCTGCCATGTTGGAGGCAGCTTCTGTCTATGAGGAGCCACAGCTGGGGAATGATTCAGGAGCTCTTGACAGTGGTTAGGAGTCAGGAGATGCTGAAGAGCTGCCTCTACCTTTGCTTTGCCTGTGTCCCATCCCTATGCCTTGTAATGATGACCCCCCCTCCTCCTATGACCTTGTCCAGAAAGTAGATCACCTCCTAGACAAATATGTGCAATATCCGCTGCAGGAGATGGATTCTGTGCAGAGGAAGAGGGCTCCAGACGGCAAAGCCATAGAAGCACCAGATTTCCCTTTGTGAAAAGAGAACAAAGGCACAAAGCACCAACTGATTAGTTCTTTCAGAGCCTTTGTGTGCATCCTTGTTAGGAAAGGGTCATAGGCAAGATGCCGGAGAAGATTTCTGTCAGGTGGCAAAAGGCATCAAGAGTAATGTGCAAGCTTGCTGCCTCATTTCCCAACTTGTGATGAACTCATCTAGTGGGAAGAACATCGAACTTGATGTGGAATATCTGGGAGGCCATGGGGTCAGCCTACACGACAGTGTATCTGTGCTATAGGGAAAGCCCCTTCTTCTAGAGCCGCAGGTGCCTCTAGTTGTATGGGGATGGGCCTCAGCACATGTAGGCTCATCCTCCAAGGATGGAGAGCCACACCCCACATCATGCAGATTATTGTGTCCAAGAGTAACTAGTCTGGAAGACAGTTTACTAGAGATGTGGTTCTCACCCAGGGCCACTTCAGCAACCCCCACCCCAGCTCTGGAACATTTGGCAATGGCCAGAGATATTTTTTGATTTTAACATCCAGTGGGTAGAGGCCAGAGATGCTGCTGCCATCCTCCTGTGTACAGGACAGCCCTGCCCTCTGCAGTAAGGAGTGATCCAGCCCCACATGTCAATAGGGTTAAGGTTGCAAAACTAAACCAGAGTGATGGTTAGTGGCAGGTTCTCTCAGTGTACCCTGATGCAGGCCTCTCCTTCTGCCACCAGGAAACCATGATGGACCATGCCTTGCGCACCATCTCTTACATCGCAGACATTGGGAACATAGTTGTTCTGATGGCCCGGCGCCGCATGCCACGGTCTGCCTCTCAAGACTGCATTGAGACCACGCCTGGGGCCCAGGAGGGGAAGAAACAGTACAAGATGATCTGCCACGTGTTCGAATCAGAGGATGTAAGTAAATGCTTGGGGTCTGGCCCTCCCCTGCCAACAGTCCCGCAATTCGTGGTCTCCCTAGTAAGAAAACTGTGAGAGGGCTCAGCAATTCTTTATACACTCTTGTGTGAAGAGAGTGAACAGTTTTATTTCCCTTCATAAAACAGGTGCTTCAGGAGTTGTCAAATATATAAGGGGAGTTTTGTATCCAAGGAAATCATTCTATAAAACCTCTCACTCCTAAAATAAAGCTAATCTTTGCCTAACTGTTCTGATGTTAGAATGCATATATTTATATGTCAAGATTACACAGAGAGAAGAGAGATGCATCTGCACCTAGGCTGAGCTCTGCCTTTGCTGTGTCATTTTACTGCACAACAAATAAAAAATCACTTTGAAGTCTTAAATACTGCAGACTCACCAAGGGACCCTAGAGTGATAGAAGCCTGTAATCCCAACTACTCAGAAGCTGAAGTAGGATGATTGCATATGCAAGCCTAGGTAGCTTAGCCAGACCTGCCTAAAAACCAAAAACAAAGAAACAGTAATAACAAGAAACGGCGAGCTTGGGAGATAGGGGCCCTGGTGTCCTGAAGGCTGACCTTACTTGAGCCTCCCGGGAAGGCTGCTGCTAGACTCTAACCTCTTCTCCATTGACCAGGCCCTCCTGTGAAGGTGGCATCCCAAAATTTTGTCAATGGTGACCCTGTTGTGGCTGCAGCAATTCCCCAAAGGGCTAAGGCATGCTTGCTCACAGGAGGGCTTACAAGCATCCCTGGGTCAGTAGGGGAGTGTTCATACATTTTCTTGATTGTGAGATACAATATAGAATCCATATTTGAAAACATGGTTCAAACCTGTGTAAGAGAACTGTCATCTTTTCCCTAAGATATCAATTTGAAATGCTTTGGAGTGATGGCAGATTTATAGGAGAGGCCAGTATTCCTGTACAAACCTACTAATTCATTAGCTTTCCATCATTGCACAGAGATCTTTGGACACTTTGACACACATTTCTGAATGGATGTCTTAGAGACCTGGTGGAATAGACCTCAAATGATGGGTAGTGAAAGGAAGAAGCAGGCCAAGTGGCAAATCTTGTGTTCAGGTCTCAAAGGAGTGGGGAACAGGACAAACCCCTGAGGTACAGGCGGTGCTGTGAATGGAGGTGGAAGTCAGGAGCTGCCCTTGTGACCATTAGCCATCATCCACTGGTGGGAGACAGGGCTGGGAACACAGAGTGGGAAGGACCCAAGTAGTCCTTGAAGGAACAAGGGTTGTGTGCAGCACCCCAAAGCAGCTGCCCAGGGAGAGCACATGGTGGTGGCTCTGTTTAGGTGGGATGCTGAGTCCTGGGTTCCCTCTGTGAGGTAGAGCTCAGAGTTCTGGGGCTAAGGCAAAGGTCGAGGCTGCTGTGTAGGTGACAGAGCCAGGCAGAGCAGTGTGGGGTATGGCCTCCTTGTGCCTTGCTTAGGGTCCTCAGCCCACCTGCAGGATGCCACCAGGCACTTTGGCTCACTTAGGTTCCTACCTGGGGCCTTACAGCAGTAGATACTCACAGGCTTGGCTGCGAGCTGGAGCAAGTCCCAGTCTGAGGATTGGAGTGGCGTCACAGCCAGTGAGTCCTCTGGGTTGACTCCTGTTCAGATGGAAGGAAAGCCAGGGCACAGGGAGAAGGGGAAAGTGTGGACACAAGAGGAATTAGGGGAGAGCAGAGGGAGGTAGGAGACAGCAGGAACAATAGTGGAAAGTGTATTTTGGGAGGTGGGGGCAGGGATAGCACGAAGCACAAGGCTCCCTGCATTGTGCCAACGTGGGTGATCTGGGTATGTGGCTGACTTGAGTCTCCCAGGCTTTTCCATGGGATAGGCTGGCAGCTGGGGAAGTGGGTCTCAGAAGAGCCCCAGGGCATTGGACAGTGGGGCTAAAGATCTAGTGGTGAAGGAATCTGATGTGGTCAGACTACAGAAGGGTTTGATGGCAGCAGCACTGAGATCCGTTAGGCTAGTGCAGCCCCCCTCTAATCTGTGGCCCTACCAGCTCTACCCTGCTCTGAGGCCTTGCCCTCCCTTGTGGGTCCCACCTGGTCCCCTGCTCTCTGGCTTATCCTTCAGCCCCACCTGCTCCTGTACCAGCTCCTTTCCTACCCATGCCGGCACTGCCACCTAGTGGTATATGAGCTGCCGAGTTCACCAAGAGCTAACACGCTGGTGTGGGAACAGCAAGAGAGAACTTTGTGGCATCCTTCCTCTAAACTCTTCAGGGCCTAATTTGGGCAGGCAGTTCAACCTAGAATCCCGGTGCATATTTAAAGCAAGATCCTGCATGCTAAGACTATGATCTGGCCCATCTTGGTTTTATATATGCATATTCATTTGCAGCACTTAAATCGATTTTTCTGCAGAGGGAGAAAAGGATTTAAGCCACATCCCTTGTTTTCAGATCATATTGAGGAACCAAGGTTATAGGGGAGTGTTGCCTGGGAGAAGGGGAATTATAGGGAAGAACTGAGCTCGGACCCTGGTGTAAGGTTGGTGGGGGTGTTGATCTTATTGTGCACTGAGGTGTTTCAGAAAGTTCCACAGCTCCCCCAGGGCTGCACAGCTGGGAGCACGCTTGCCATGGTCCAGGAGCTGGGATCTTTAGTGCTTGCCTCAGACTGTCTGGTCTGCACACAGGCAGGAAGGCCCTGCCTCAGCCTATCAGTGTTCAGACTTCACAGCATAAGCATCTGCTGACACAGAAAGAAGTGTTCTGCTCTGTGGAGTGGAGTATGTGCGGAGTCCCCAGGTCCACACCTCTTGTGGCCCACAGTCTGGCATACCCTTCTATACCAGAGCAATGGGGCACACACACTGGCCCCCACCCATTTGGCCCTGGATTCTGTAGCTATGTATAAATAAAGAGAAATTATATTTCTCTAGACAGACCTCTAATATATATTTTAGGATAAAATTAGTAAAAAGAAAACACGGTTCCAAATTAAAGCAGTAAAATATGGTATACTTCATCATTTTCCCTGATTCTACTAGAAGCCATGCTTTGTCCCAGTGACTAGGACATAAAACAGCACACAGCGGCCCAGCCAGGACCAGATGCCAATGGTACAGAGCAGTAGAAAGACTCACCATGGCAGTCCATGGTAGAATGATGTTATTAGCAGACAGCTTTAGCCAGCACAGGGCCTAGAGTTTGCTCTCTGCATCTTTTAAGCCCAAGCAAGGGTTCTTTTGAAGACTTGGGTACCTAATAGAGCCTGTGTGCCCATGTCTGTATCTAGCAGGCCTGTTCTCTTCCCACAGGCCCAGCTGATAGCCCAGTCCATTGGGCAGGCTTTCAGCGTGGCCTACCAGGAATTCCTGCGGGCCAATGGCATCAATCCTGAAGATCTAAGCCAGAAGGAGTACAGTGACATTATCAACACCCAGGAGATGTATAATGATGACCTCATCCACTTCTCAAACTCAGAGAACTGCAAGGAGGTGAGTCACACATACCTGCTGGGCACCCCTCCCCCCAAACTCATTCTGCCAAGCTCTGCCCTCTAAGCTGAGTCCCTGCAGAGCTGGGCAAGACAGCTTCAGTGAGGGGCTTCCCCAGTGTCTCCCCATCAGCTTGCCAAGCCAGGACTAAAGCAAGACTTGGGCCCTCATGTTTACCACGGTGTCCAACAAGGGCCACTCAGAATATGTCCTGCTTCTGCCTTAGAGCTGAGCACGTGGGTGTGAAATGAGGTGCTTGCAATAGAGAAGCAGATTCCAGTCAGTCTTAATGACCTTACAGATGTGTCTTTTAATGCTCTGTTATCACTGACTAGGTTTAGCATTAACAAATATTTCTGGAAAAAGCTTGTGAGAGGTATCTGTAAAATTGGGAGCTTGAGTGTGCTAACAGGGTGGTGTTGAAGTTGCGGGTAGCAGAGGCTTTAGTAGATTCTAGACCCTTGAGGGTCTTTGGAATGAATAAATCTGCTCTCATGGAAATGAGTGAATGAATGATTCTGGATATTTGTTGAAAGGAGTGAGTGAATGAATCATTTTAGATTCTTGTTGATCACATGGCTGATCCTGACTTCTTGAATGCATACAGCAGATGGTTTTCTGAGAGAGCCATCCTTGAAGCAATAGAGAAATAAAACTTTCAAGATAAGAGCAAAGACCGGGACATGATGGACACTAGAGGATGTTCCTCTGGCTTCAGAGGGTTTGGCATTGAGGAAACTGGAGTCAGGGCCCAGGAGCCTTGCTTACAGCATGGCAGGAGAGGGATTCTGTGCTTCTGGATTTCCAGAATGCTCCTGGGACCAGAGAGCCTTGGAAGTCTGAGCAGGGTGAGTCCAGGTGAAAGAAGGCAGTCCTTTCAGATCCAACCTTTCGTAGCTGAGAATAAATGACCTTTGCCCCATGTCAGGGCAGATCCCATGGGGCCAAGGCCAGTCGAATCCTTCCACAAGTGCTTTGCCCCATGTGGTCTCTCCCACACTGTCCCTTCTCGTGCAGCTGCAGCTGGAAAAGCACAAGGGTGAGATTCTAGGCGTGGTGGTTGTGGAGTCAGGTTGGGGCTCCATTCTGCCCACCGTAATCCTAGCCAACATGATGAATGGAGGCCCTGCGGCACGCTCAGGGAAGCTGAGCATCGGAGACCAGATCATGTCCATCAATGGCACCAGCCTGGTGGGGCTGCCCCTTGCCACCTGCCAGGGCATCATCAAGGTGGGTACTCCGGGATCCTCTACTGGTGTTCTTCCCAATCCTGCCTCACTTGACCCGTGAGGACATTGAAGCCTAGGTGACAGGTCCACGACAGTCAACTGATCCCAAGATTGTATCACGCAACTGAAATTAGAGAGGACTCAAGCCCTGGGATGGAGAGTGGGAGGTGTCATCTCACTCCAGGTGAGAGCTGAGGAGCTGTATATGTAGGATGATGACTCAGCCTGCTGTGCCTGGGATGTTTCCAGGTTAGCCCTGCAGGGAACACTTCTGGATGCCTCCTTAGTCATGGCAGCCTGGAGAGTGAGTTGTCTTACATGGACAGGGAGCTAGGAGGCTGGCTTTCTTGGGGATGTTGGAAGCAGAGGGGACATAAGAGGTTAGGACTTCATACCTGCCCACCTCAGGAGGAGCGGACAGTAGGTACTGACTGTTGGTGGCAGTACCTATGACCTGTCCTTGGCCAGCCCCCAGTTGTCGTGGAACTAGAATAAGCATTTCAGCCTGATGGATTTTTCCAAAGCCACGATGTTCATGAAAGAGCTTTGGGACCCAGCCCAGGGATGCTTCTTTCCAATGGCTTTTGCAGGGCTGCATCTACTGGGGGCTCTGTATGCATGTCCATATCTGGGAAGCTGAAACTGTGACCATGTAAGGCCAGGCCCTTCCCCCTACCTTTGGCTTGGGGCACTGCTGACAGACTTGTAGCCCCTCTTGGCACCAGGCTAGCCTGCCCTGATGCAGCCCCTGAGCTAGCATGTACCTCTTGGGAATCCATCAGTGGAAGATACTTTGTTTAGACAACAGTGTCTTCACAGTCCTTCCAAAGAGAAGGTTCTCCTGCATGCAGCCTACTGAAGGCCCCTCACATGCCGGCTGTGGGTGAGCCTAGTGCACAGCTCCTTGACTCCCCTTTGCATGTTCCCAGAGGATGCTAGAGCCCAGCCAGTGACTTGTCCCCATGCTTTGTAGGGCCTGAAGAACCAGACACAAGTGAAGCTCAACATTGTCAGCTGTCCCCCGGTCACTACGGTCCTCATCAAGCGTCCAGACCTCAAGTACCAGCTGGGCTTCAGTGTGCAGAACGGAATTGTGAGTTCACCTTCTCCCTACCTGGGTTACCTCTTTTACATGTAGGGACTGGGTTTTGCAGGCCGGGGTGCCACTCTGTCTGAGGAGGGCCAGTCGGGGCTGGCCAGGACAGCATCCAGGTTTCACAGAGCTGGATGGAGAATACTGGCCAAGGTAGACAGGGAGGGTCAGGGTGTAGCCCTGGGAGCCATCCCTCAAACCCTGACCAGTTCCAGTGAGGGCTGTTCTCGTCAAGTGCTTGTTGCAGGGAGGGTAGCAGGACGTCAGCTATTGTAGCTTGGACACACAGTCAAATGCTGCCATCACACTCATTGTGTTCAACAAACACATCTCTACTTCCATTGGCTCATTCGTTCACTTCATTCACCCATCCATTCAGTAGACATGTGTGGAATACCTGCTCTGTGTCTGGTTCTGAGACAGGAAGGAGACTAAGGAGACAGGAAGGCTGCTGGGCTCCAGTGAGTGCTGGCCTGGCCAAGCATCTATACCTGAGCCCCAAGCCTAAATCCTTCAGCTCAGTTTGAGCTTCTCTGACCTGTGTTTGGCAGGCAAGAGCTCTGGATCCTTGGTTTTCCTCCTGCAAATGTCCCAATGGATAGAGCTGCTGCCACTAAATGAGTACAGAGGGGGCCCATTAAACCCAATTGTTTAAACCAGTGTTAAAGGTAGGCAGGAGAGACCTTGTAAGAGAGAGGGGGAGATGCAGGTGCTAGCCAACAGCACTGGGGAAAGACACTAAAATGGCTTGAAAGACAACCAATGAAAGAACTTGTCTCACTGTTATCTGTAAGCTATGGATGGTGACAGCCTGGGTAGAGTCACAGGGTCTGGGGTCCAGGTCCCTGTCTGCTCAGGTCACATCACCTGAAAGGCTTTCTATGCCCAAGGGGGCTGGCAAAAGGGGCAGTGGTAGGAAGTAGGAGAAGCTCTGACTTGGGTCTGTAGGGGCTGAATTAAGATGGATGGGAAAGGAAGGTGGCCCTATGGTAAGCCAGGTGGGACTGTGATCCCTCTCCTCAGATGCCAGGGTAGAGGGCAAGGTGGCAGCAGTGGGCTGTCTTCCAGCCCCCTTCTGATGTGGTGCCAAAGAGTCTGCACCAGCCTCACCACAGAGGGGACCTTTGGGATGGGAAGCCATCATGCTGAGAACTATAAGGTGGGTAGTGGGAGTTTGGAGGTACTGAGTTCAGAGGCCCAGTTCTGAAGCGCCTGGAAATAACATGTAATTTTGAGAACAAAATTGTTAGGCTCCAGGGCCACCAGTATGCAGGAGGAGGTCCTGAAGTGGGTATCTGACCCTGGCAAGGGTCTGAGTTAGTGGTGACAATGAAGACCCAGCCAGGTGTGTCTTTGAAACTTGACGGTTTCTATGGGACACCAGCATGGATGAGGAGAACCTCCATCACCAAGCCCTGCCTGCCACTGAGTCCTATCTACCCTCTGTTCTCAGCCTCCCTGTCTAAGAAATGTGCCAAACTTCCTCAAGGCCCTACTTAGGCTGTGTTAGGGTGGCAGTGGTAGGCATGGGTGGGTTTGGGGACACCTGTGGCCAAGGTAGGACTGATTTGTTCATATCTGGGGCCCAGGATTCCAGTCACCAAGCATTATCTGGCATTATATGGCCCCTAGTTCTGGCTTGGGCCCCAGTCAGCCAGCCAGTCTCTCCTACTGAACCCACAGGGAACATGGCGCCTATTTCCTGCTGTGCTCCACGAAGCTGCAGTCCTCCAAGTCTCCTGGAGAAGCTTGCTTACCTCAGAGTGGTTTTGCATAAGTGCCTTTTCCATTTTCAGCCTCATTGTACCCCAACTGCAATGTATGTGTTTGCAGAAAGGCCCCTAATGACACAACTAATGTTTCCAAATGGATTCCACTTCTCTCTTCCTACAATATCCCCTAAGGAGTCAAGAAGTCTCCAGTTTGGAGACCCCTGTCTTCCTCCCCAAGAATGTACACTGGGAGTCAGAGCATGCAGAAGTTTCTGTAGTGTAGGCCTCAGTTTGGAAGGCCAGTAGCACTGTGTACATGCAGGCAAGCTCCCCCAGCACCTCCTGCTTCCATTCTCTGCCCCAAGATTCCGATGGCTTGCATTCCTTCGTCTGAGTATGCCCACCAGCTTCACCCCCACAAGGTATAACCTCCTGTCACTGCCCTGCCCTTTCCCCTCTTTGTCTTTTTCGAATCTCCAAAAATAAAGAGTTAGTGGCCACAAGGAATTTAATCAAAATATCACTTTCTAGGGCACATCTTAACTCTGGCTGGGCTACCCTGAATCAACATGTTCGGGATCTTCAGAAAGCCATATGCTTTCAGCATAAAATTCCCTTAAGTTATTTTGGAGGGGAATGACTTAAATCATTGCTTAATAACGTGTATAGTAATAGGTGATGGAGTGGAGTGCTGGGTTCCTCTCCAGGAGTAATTGCTCTTCCCCCATCTTTGGACTGTGGCGGAGCAGCTTCAAGGAATGGTAGGAATGTACATGCTGACCTCACCTGTCCTTTTAGATCTGCAGTCTCATGAGAGGGGGTATTGCAGAGCGAGGTGGTGTTCGCGTTGGTCACCGCATCATCGAGATCAATGGGCAGAGTGTGGTGGCCACAGCCCATGAGAAGATAGTCCAGGCTCTGTCCAATTCAGTGGGAGAGGTGAGTCTGCCAATTCATTCTAAAGTCCACCATGTTTATGACCTGAGTCCAGGGCCCTGGACCCCTACATTTCTGTGACCAACAACTAACCCTGTGGGGTATGGATGTGTTTGGAAAGCTACCTTTCTCAGGACAACTTGGACCTGTAGGGCCTTGGCCTCACCTCCATGTGCCAGTTATATATATATGCCCCAGCTTCACTTCTGTGATTCCAGCTCCCCTCCAGGGGCTACTGGGTGTCAGCTGAGGTTCAGGCTGTGTCTCTACCTCAAAGTGTCCATGAATAGGATGAACAGAGTGGCAGGTGGTCCTCAAGGTCCCTCTGATTTCTCAGTGAATGGAAGGGTAGAGGTCATTGGGCACAGATCCTGACACTGTTTCTGAACTGAATCCTGCACATCTGCCCCTCCAGGGAAGGAGGCTCTGACACATCACCACAGATGTGCAGCTCCTGCCCCTTCCATGCTAGGACCAAGCTGTTTAGCCTTTCCTGCTTCTCTGGCTTTTAACCTTCCCCTAGTCCAGCTTTTTTGGGCTCATCTCGATCGTAACGGGAGAATGGCCGAGGGCTCCAGGGTAGGGGCATACCTGTCCTCAAGGCGTCAAGAGTAAGAAGTACCACTCAGGGCGTGGAGCAGGCTAGTATGGGCAGTTTCATGCTGCACAGAAAGACTTACACAGTGTGGGTAAAGTTTGTGGTGTGCAGGAGGGTGTGTGAATGTGTATGAGAATGGGAGTGAGCATGGGTGGGTGGGTAGTGTGCATGTATGTGTGTATGGATGTTCATGTATATATAAGGTTGTGGGTATGAGTGTGTATGTGTGGGTCTGTACATCTGTGAGAGTGGGTTTAAGTGTGGGTGATAATGTGTGAACACAGGCCTGTGGGTGTGAAGGCACAGAAGTTTGTGGAGTGAGGGTGTGTTTGTGATGTATGAATGTATATGAATGGCTGTGTATGGGTGTAGGTGTGTGTGGCGCATCTGTGAATGTGTGGGGTGAGTGGGTGCACATAATACAGGTGTGGATATGGAGGTGTGGGTGTGTGGGTATGTGGGAGCTGTGAAGGGGCGGTCACAGTGAGTGGGGCCAAGTCTCTGGAGGAGTGTGGGTGACAGTAATGGGTGACACTGGGGCAGGGCTGGAGAGGTGTGTGGGAAGAGAGCAATTAATTAGTTGGGTGCCAGCTGGCACTGGGATTGGAGTCTGGTCCCTGAAGGCTCAGGATGGTCTGCTGCGCTCCCTCTGGTGGCCACCTGGTGGCTGTGCATGGAAGATGGACTAAACCCATTTCCTGCAGGATAGAAAGGTGTGAATGGCTGTTTCCTCGGGGGGGGGGGGGGGGGGGAATTCATGTCCCTTTAACCACCCCTCTTGGGGTCACATTGACACACAGCATCTTGTCAAACTGCCAGGGCCCAGGGTGGACCTACATTGCTCTGGATTGGTGGTAGTGATGGCTGATTCGTAAGGAGAGAGGCCAGGAAGGAACCATTAGCTGCTTCTTACAAATGGCTTCCAAGAGGGGCTGGAAAGATGGCTCAGTGGTTAACAACACTGGTGGTTCTTGCAGAAGACCCAGGTTCGAATCCCAGGACTCACATGGCAGCTAACAACTGCCGTAACTCCAGTTCCAGGGGATCCGACAGCCTCTTCTGTCTTCCGCGGGCATTGCACGACACAGGTGCACTTACCTACACGCAGGTAATACACACATACACATAAAATAAAAATAAAATTTTTAAGTAACAACATCCTAAATAAACTCAGTTCTCAGTAATATTGGTAAAAAATTTGTTGATGTAAACATAGTGAAAAGCTTTCACAGCTCATGCTTGGGTCTGATGAACAGGAGAACTCAAAAGAATACTGGGTCTACACCCCTATGTGGGTCAGTTAATCCTAAACCAGACTACAAAAATAATAAATAAAATATATTAAAAAAATGGCTTCCAAGAAAGAAAAATCCACTTTTTCTAAGTAGATTCTCAGAAATGGCTGCCCACGTGAGAGCAATCAGCCTCACACCTAAAGAAATCAATCCTATGAAGGAGCAGGCCTGGGAGCCCAAGAAATGAATCTGCCTCCTCAGGCCTAAGATGGATTAATATCCAAAGAGGCAAGAGAGCAGGGGGAGAGTGCAGAGTCCCTTCAGCGTGCTGGTCTTGGCCCTGCTGGATGGGACAGGCTGGGAGATTAGTGTCTGCTGGTGTTTTCAACTATGCCTGAGCACATTGGAGAATGAGTCACTGGTAAAGACTGGAGGTTTGAAGACGCCTGCATGGGTGTGGGGTAGGTTTCAAGTGAGGAATTACTGAAAGTGAATGAAGTTTCTGGGGGAAATGCTATCCTGAGTGAAGAGGGAGCCAAAATCTAAATGGAGCAAACAAACCTGTAGAACTGAACTGTATGAATTAGGCAGAAGAGAGTCAGGGCCTGCTTGCCTGGGGCAGCAGAGAACTGGAGGCAGCTGAGGACCCCTGCCAGCTTCTGCCTGAGCACAGCACAGTATGAGCTTGGGACTGTGGCCCTGAGTTGAGGGGAGAGCAAGAGCTCCACATGGGGCTGCTTCCTTGGGCTCAGTGCCTTCATTGTCCCCTCCACCTGTTGCCCTTGAAGCAGTCCCATGTGGAGGCAGCAAGAGATGTTGTGCTGTTGAGAGTCATTTTTTCAATGTCCCCAAAGGACAAGGTCTTTGAGAACTTGCCTTTTTGACCAGTTTCTAGCCCCAGACAAAACCCTTGCTTCATCCAGTGTCAGCATTGTGGGAAGGAAAGGGTACAAGTCTCCCTCTCTTGGTCTTTCCTTCACTGAAACATAGAACACTCCTGGCAGTTTCTGGTGGTGTCTGCAGCCCAATGGGAAAATTGTAGTCTCCATCCAAAGTCCAATATTTCACTGTCATGCATCAACTGGAGCTGAAAAGAAACTATTACTGGATGGTGTGTAAAACCTTCTTAAGGCCTGGAACGAACCTTCCACCTCACCTCATTCTTCCTTCACTCTGAGAGGCTCTCAGAAGACTATGTCTTTATTGCTTGATTGCACTTGATTACATAGTGGCAGGCAGCTCAGCCTCTCCTCTCTGTTTACAGATTCACATGAAGACCATGCCTGCTGCCATGTTCAGGCTCCTCACAGGCCAAGAGACCCCGCTGTACATCTAGGCTCACCCAGATTTCACCATGGAGCAGTGACACTAAGCAGACCCACTTGGGCCCAGAGGAGCCAGAAGCCAGGACAAAGCCCTGACCCTTGACCCCACAGCCCAACAAAGGACACTGGCACCCCTGAAGAATGTGCCCTCATCACCTAGTTCTTTTGGTTTTGAGCTTAGTTCTGTTTTGTTTTGCCAAAAAAAGGATATGTCTTTACCAAAGGAGAGTCCCAGGAGCAATCCTTTGTAAAACATTCTGGTATTCTGCCACGTTCTCACTACGGCTGATGACGGGTGCTCACGGTTAGCTCTGTGTGGTGTAGTGTGTCATTCCTCCCTGAAGCTGTAGAATGGGAATGTGGAGCCTGCCCATGTGGCCATGAAGGGAGGCCTCTGCTGGTCACAGCTCCCACAGGGCTGTGGGCACACCCTCTCTACTCCCTCGCTGGGACACCTGGGGTCCTATAGGGCCTACGAACCAGCGCTGCCTCCACCTGATGGGTGCAGGGGAGCACGACTCCCAGGATGAGACTTGTACTGAATGTGGGAACCTGTGATTGATTGTAAGTATTTATGCAGCAAGGGGATACTCCCGAGTTAAATAAAAAATGATGGTCACAATGTCAAAACTCCATATTTATTTAGCAAATATTACTATTTGGACATTGACCTTAGCAAGCCGTTCTTCAGATGTTTAGGTTTTCCGATGACTTGTGACCACAGCTGCTTCTCCTATCCTAGCCTGTTTGGAGTCCCCTGAGACTCTGTGAACTTCCTTGGGCTTCCTCCCTCCAACTCTTTCTCCATCACAGGGCTCCCCACCAGGGGGCAGCATCCTCCAGGGGCAGAGGCAGAGACATGGGAGACTTGCCCTATTTTTAAAAATCTAGCTACACATATATAGCCACACACACAGTCCCCAACAAAGCAAGCCCATACCAGAAAACCCATCTCTGTCCTTCCTGAGGGGACCAGCCTAGAGTGCAGATTACTTGGTGAGCAAGGTGTCTGCCCACCACAAGCAGTGTTAGCACGTGTGGACCACGGGGCACAGCGGCTGGCTCAGTTCATTAGAGATCAATGTTAACTGACGTCATTTTGTCTGGAAGTCTCTTTTTTTTGGCCCAGGCCTTGAAGAATACACTGTGACTTAAGAAGCCTTACCATGCAGTAGCTGAAGCTTTAGGATCACTGTACTCGAGGAGTAACCTGTGTGTTGCATGCAGCTGACCCTAGGAAGACTTCGCGCATATCGCTAATAAACCTGAAGTCGTGATGAAAAGCTCTTTGTCCGCCTCATTTGTCAGCTGAGTAGTGTGTGCTTAGTGGCCTTCTCATTTCCACCCTCTGGATGGTAACTCTGTGAGTCTGCCTTGTGGTGACAGCAGACCTTCCTGGTCTGTGACCTTGGCAGGTCTTATCCAGAAGGTTGGAGGACAGGTGCTAAGATCACCGGGTGTCATGATGGTGCCAGGTCACCCAGCTCCAAGTTCCCTACTCATCTGCTGCAGGGGAGAGATGGGGCTATACACTGCTGACAACTGAATAAGGGAGCGAATAGTCTTGGGCTTCTCCAGGCCTATTTCCTTAGAAGCCTGTGAATGTGTGAAAGGTTGGCCAACCCCCCGCCTTCTGCATACCTGCCGGGCCCCTTGAAGCCCACCTAGAATGTCAACAGGGTAGCATTGTGCCTAGCTCAGTGGCCTGCTGTTGCCTGACCTGGGAAGGCCATGAGGTAAACGTGAGCTTTCATTAGGAGGTTGGAGGGGTGGGGGGTGGGTGGGAACCTCAGCAAACAGGACGCATCTTTCTGGCCTGCCACAGCAGAGCATGCCCTACTCTTTGAGCTGCTGGCCAGTAGCTTTCATGACCTTGGATTCTGCAGAACTGAAGGGCCTGAATTTTATGTTCGCTTCACATTGGGCCTTCAGGAGTAGGTAAGAAAGAGCCTTTCACCATGAACTCCAACCCCAGACCGTACAGTGGGAATATACAGTGGGAATGCCATCAGAAACACAACAGGACAGTTTTCCCACCTATCTCCCTATTCTCCAAACATGCTGAGGCACTGAAAGCAAATACGGTTCTTCAAAATGTGAGCTAGTAGCCCCCATCATTGAGGAATGAAAAGAATAGATCCCAGGGTGAAAGCTAGAGCCGGGGAGCCTGCTGCTCAGGACAAGGGGACGTCCCTGTGTGCCTGAACAAGCTTGTGGCCCATCTCTAGAAATAAACTCATGGCCGGATGACATGGGGGCATGATGCCTACCTACTGGTACATATTGCATGTGTATGTAGTATATGCACCTATGTACAAGCACACATGCCTGTTTGTATCCATGTGGAGGTCAGAGGTTATCATTGAGTATCTTTCTCTGTCACGTTACACTTTATTTCTTGAGACAAGGTCTTTCACCCAACCTCTGGGTGTTCACTATTTTGGCTAGGCTTGCTGGCCAAGAAGCCCCAGGGATCCCCAGCACTGGGGTTACAATACCTTCCTGCCTGGCTTTTTACATGGGAGCTTGTGATCCGAACTCAGGTCCTCATGCTTGTACAACAAATACTTTACCTACTGAGCCATCTCCCCAGACCCCTGGAACACATAATTTAGAGACAATGGAAATCTTTGACCTACAGGCCCATGTTCCCAGAAGTCCTTGTGGGTCAGGTCCACAGAAGGGCAGCTGGGGCTTTAGTTGGTGTAGGCAGGACCCGTGAGCACGGGGGACTACCTTCTGACCTAGTTTGTGTTTCTGCTGCAGAGAAACAAACTAAGACACCTTCTCACCTTAATCCCCGGCCCACAGCTTCTGGTGGGCAGCAGTGGGGGCCTTTTGCTCCCCTGAACCCAGGCCCTCCAGGACCCTGCTCTTGGCCTTGCATACAGCTCTCAGCCTGTCTCAGTCCCAGTTAGATCTCAGAGACACAGAGGCCAGAAATACTTTTTATTAAAACACTGATCATTATTAAAACACCTTGAGGTACATTAAATAAATACAACCTTTCGAGTTGTACAAACAGGTCTCTGGTGGCCTGAAAACAATTTCCTATAAATCCTGCCTCAGCAGCATCTGTGAGTTGATACAGCAGAGGGGGAGGAAAAAAACATCAGAAATGAGCACGCCCTTCTAAGCATTTCAAGTGTATCACTGCCTCCCTCGGAAGGAGATCTTGAGTCCTGTGAATAAGCCCCCTTATTTGCAGTAGAGCTGAGGCCCAGAGTTTGCGCACATCAGCATCTTCATGTGCCCCAGGCAGGATCAAAGGACAGTGTCCTAGAAGGTGCTGGCTTTTTTTGGCTGGGGGCCCAGGACCTGGCCAGATTGGGGTGAGAGAGTCACCTCCTAAATGATCACCACTCAGCCCATCTCAGATACAGCACAGGAAGCAGGGAAAACCTTCCAGGAGGAAAGGGTGTGCAAGCAAGGGGAGGAGGCCAGCTTTCCCCTGGACCCTTGGATAGGGAACCCACATGCTGCCTAGGGCTCCTAGTATCAGAAAGCCACTGAGACCAGGCCAAAGGACCCAGAGGAGACAAGTTACATTGAAAGCACATTGTCTAGTGGCTCCAACCAAGTACCTCAGCCTTCTGGGGGTCTTTCCTGGAAGCCTGGAGCTTGGGGCTTCCTAGTGTCCACATGGGCCATTTAGGGCCCTGAGAAGGTGGACTGAGGAGAGACCAGAACCTCTTAACAGCCTTGCTCTGTGAGGCAGAGGTTCTCACTTGATCAGAGGCATGAAGTTGTATAATTTCTTTATCCATAAGATAAACTTGTTAGGAGAGCCAACATAGAATTGAGCTAGAGTGGTGTGGGCATGCCACTCTCTTGAAAATATCCGGGACCAAAGGTTTCCAGGTGCCAATGTCAGTCTGCACTTGACAGGAGGCACAACCAGGGAGGAGTGCCACTTGGAAGATAAACAGGGACTGTTGGAGAGGTGTAGTGAAGGCTACAGAACCCCATCTATTGCCATTGGATGCTCACCATGGCTACATTATGAAAATGCCCTAGTACATGAGTCAGACTGGGTGTGGTGGGTACTGGCTGCCCTTGGACTACAGCTTGTTTGGATCTGCAAGTACAGCCCAGCCAAAGGCTCTGCTTAGGGGCATTGCCTGAAGGTGAAACCCTGCAGCTGCCTCATTTCACCTTGCCTCTGAGGTGATATAAATGCCTGGTGCCCAGGCCTAGGCATGGCGGTCTAAGTGCTTCACTCGGAGGCTGAGGGGAGGTCATTCTGAAAAACCATCAATTATTTCCACCTTCAAGGGGACTCGCTCTGGGGACCTTCCAAAGTCTTAACTTGAGAAAAATTAGAGAATAGATTTCCCATTTTATAGTCTGAATAAAGTGCTCACAAATTCATCTCTACTCTGTCTCTTGTGGAAAAGGCAAGGCTGCCATCAAATGGCCTGATTTATATTTTCCAACTCTCTAACCTCAAGAAGGCAACAACCTACATAATTGGTAAAGCCGTTAGGGCATTAGCAGCTGACTGCTGCTGGGGGATTCCCACACTATATGTGGGCAGGAGCCCCTCCCCCAGCTTCTAAACACACAGAGGTCCCCAGCATATTAGCTACAGGGAATTTGGGGGCCAGAACAGGGAAGTAGATGAAGACACGCACAGGGCACAGAGAACAGAACAGAGGGGGGCCACCAGTTGGGCACTGAACAATGGTGGACACACTCTGGCCCACTTTGGCACTGCCCACAGACTCAGGGCTTCTGTGCCTACATTGGGGTCCACATGCCATCACATGGGTTCAGTGGCCTCATGTGGCTACTGTTTTGGATGAACCAGATGAGAATGTTTCCATTTCTGCAGGAAGGTCTTGCAGGCAGTGTTGTTGCTTCAGAGCAATAGTTGGGAAGTAGTTGCTGTAGATGTTGCCAGAAAATGAGAGTCTGGAACAGTCAAGAAAGTCAGGGGTGCCCAGGTTATCCCCAAGCTGAGCTTCCCTGCCTCTGCATGTCCACCGCACTAGGCATTCTTTCAGGAAGAAAAGACTGACAGTCTGCATCCTCTAATGCAGATGTGTCTGCTTCCACCTGGGTTGCTTGAGGGATAACTCGGGGTCAGGAGAGGCATGCCTTAGCAGAAGGTGTACACATTCCAGATACAAAGGCCTCTTTGCCCAGGCTGTCACTCACCCAGGGCAATCAAGTGAGGTCAGACATGATGAGAAACCCTCTCAGAGACTGAGAGAGGTCCATATTGTTAAGAGATAAGTAACAACTGTCTGTTCCAGTTAAAGGATAGGGGACCTTGAAGGAAAGGGGGCCCAGGAAGGAAGTGGGGATGACAGCCCATGGATGGAGGCTTGGGACACAAGGAGTTGGGGGGTATTTTGAATCCTTCCAACACCCTCCTGCTGCCTGGGGATCCCTGGGTCATGATGGAGCCTTCAATGTGGATTTATTGACAGGATAGCCCAGTGGGCAAAAAGGTGGGCCTAGGATGTGCTAACATCACCCATTTCCTTTTAAAGGAAATAACAGGTCTGATTTTGATAAAGGTTTCATTGTGGAGTGATACAGCCACATGGGAAATGGTCCCATTGCTGCTGTCACCATTATCATTTAACACTGAACTCTACTGAGGGTAGAGGAGAACCCTGCCTTAACACTGCTGGCTTGGAAGATGTGGTATCTTTATGTTCCTCAAGTGTCACCTGTCACTGGACTGGTATTCCTGTCATACTCATCAGTGAAGGGCTGCACCCCTGATACAACCAGAGTTCACTAATAACATGAGAGAAACATCTCTGAAATACTAGGACAGGGAGCAAACCATCCCCAGGAAGCCAACTGATGGGAGAAGGCGTTAACAGTTCCCCACCCAAGCCACTGGAGTGCCTCCTGGGTGTCCCCATTGTTCTCTGCCCACTAGGCCAAAAGCCTCTCTGTATCTAGCATGGTGGCTTCCTGAAAGACCAGGCTGTGCAACTGCCAAGTCCATCAGTGTCCACATCCAGGCCTAAAGCTGCTTCATAGCTGGTCCAGGACGTTAGGATCAAAGATGGCCTCCTCCACCTGGGGCTCCTCCGAGGTGACTGCTGAGCAGATGGTGCCCATCACATGTCGCACCTCTGGAGGGAGGGCAAAGTGTGAGTGTTCCAAAAATTTAGCCACCAAGACCCTAGTGTCTGCATAGGCCCTGCTTTCCACCAAGGAGTGTGGCCGCTCTTTGGAGACGGTTTGTAAGGCCTCTGGCTTGGTCCGTTGGTCCATTTTCCAGGTGTCTGGGTCACCAGGGGGTGAGAGCTGGTGATGACAGGCAGCCATGGCAGAGCGTGATGTAGAGACTAAATATCAAAGGAAAAGAGGTGATTTGAAAACAATTGTGAGCCAAACAAAATCAAAAACATACAAAGCGTGCTCAAGATGGGCTGCTAGGAGTTGGGTTTCAGAGCAGGCATCTGGGTGTGCTGCATCTTCCTGTGTCCCTCCATTCCATCAGCCTGGAGTGAAGATGGTGTTAACCTTGAAGGACCAAGGTGAGGTAGTAGAGGCATCCCCTCAACCAGAAGGGTAGTTTCCATTGGAAAGGACAGAAGGAACTATCAATAAAATCCACCAGCTTCCTGGGGGGAAGCAGTGTTATATGCCAGACAAGAAGTATGTGCTCATGAAAGGAAGCTACCCTGCAGCTTGTGAGGCCCAAACAGGCCCAGATGGGCTCAGGTGGGGCCCAGGTCCCACAGGAGCCCAACAGTTGTCTTGGGAATACCCTCCATTTCTGAGGCCCTCCAGGGACATGGAAAGAATGTGGAAATATGATCTGGTCAAGAGGAGACAGGAGTGACAGGTGGGCTGTAGAGAAGGATGGTGACCACCTCTCCCTCATCTCATCCTTGAGGTCGTCAGTCAAAAAGTATGAATTCCACTGAGGGGTCAGGCCACAGAAAGCCATCAGAGGATCACAGAAACCTCTTCAAGCAAGTGTGATCCTCTCTTAAAGCTTGGTGAAAGGCAGTGGATACAGAGGCCTGTGTGCTGGCCCTTAGGGCCAGGAAGATGGGAAGCTCTGCTGCTTTGGGTAAAGGTACAAAGTTGGAGATTTTTAGGTTTGGATAGAACTTTCTCTACGGGTGCTCTGCAGGGTGGGAAGATGTAGCCAAAATATCTACAGACACAAAATCTGACACGTATCAACCAGAATGATGTTTCCAGGCAGCTGGGTTCTGTAGCTGGCCTGGCTCCTTCCAGGAACTGGACTCTTCCCTGGCATGGCCAGACTCTAGGCTACTTAGATTTCAGGCACATAAGACCACTAAGGTGACGCTGGTGTAGGCACCCCTAGGCTCTCTACAGGGTTCTTTCAAATCCACATCTAGAAAAGTCCCTACTTTGATGGGGTCAGAATCAGAGGCTCATTAGCCAGTTATTCACTGGTAGAAATGATGCCCCATAACAGCAAAGTTGGAGTACATACTTTCTACCCTCCTATCAAGACTCCTGAGGAGGCTGGCATGACATGTGCATGGGTAGCTGGCCACAGGGATCTTGTAGAACATGGCATGCCCACTCCCAGTCACATAGGGGACGCATAGCTTCTGGCTGAGGGCACCATGAAATGTTGCCAGAATGCACTCAGACCTTTCAAAATGCTGGACAGAGGACACACCACCTCCACACTGTCTTCACCTGTGGTCTCTTTCTCTGACCTGGACCCAAGGACATAAGTGCAGTGCAGAGCTCACAGTTCATCTCAGGGCTGCTGATCCTGGTGGGATCTCACTACTATAAACTCTTGAATCCTTCCCCTACCAGAGTGACACCTCTGTGGGAACACCACAGGGATTCAAGGCTTCCCACCCTCTACCCCTAGCTAAGGAGCCTCAAATACACAGACCACACTCCCCAGGATCCCAGGGATGGGCCTCAACTATCAGAGGTCACTTGCCCTGCAAGTTGGGCACACCCTGTGGACACAGGTGAGCCATACCTGCCTCACTGGATGTGCAGGAGGTGGGGTCACTGGCTGAGCGGGCAACACGCCCAAGACTTGGTTGTGCCTGTGTGCTCACACTTGCTGCCTCTGGAGACATCTGGTGAGGACCTGGAGCAGGTATCATGGGTGGTAGGGTGTCTAAAGTGCCATCAGGGGATGGGTGGCTTGGATCCAGTGAGGTGACACCTTCTGATGTTGGGAGACTTGTGCTACTGGCAGGCACTGCAAGAAAATATGGGCACAGTGTTAGAGTAAGTGACCACAAAACCACCCTGATGGAGGGATAGCACCTGCCCTCCAAACCCCATCCACATAAACTCTGTAGTCGTAAGAGCAGGAAGATACTGAAAGCTGAAAGACTGAACTTAGCAATCAAGTTCTTTGGTCATCAGGATGCTTACCAAGCAGGGGCCATGCAGGGAAGAATCAGGACCCTGAAGGACAGCTGGCATCACAACCAGGTCCTGGAGGCCAGATACCAGGTCAACCAAGGTACCTGTAAGTGCAGCCCCTGGGTCAGCTAGGTAGCATAAACCCAGCTATGTGATGCTTGCCTTGGTTTACAAAGTAGGCCCTGGGCAGCAGTGTTACCCTTACCTGGGTACAAGTCAGAAATACAAACTCAGGGTTTGGGGTACAGCTTGGAGCTCGGAGGTGGAATACTAGCCTAGCATGTGTGAGGCCCTGGGTTAATCCCCAGCCTGGCTGGCAGAGAGCAGGATCTGGGGTGGCCTGGTCATGCAGGCTGATGCTAGCCCTCCATGGGACTTGGATGACCACTAAACTGTGAGCACCACCACTGTGGGCCAGTGAGGCTGGTGAGGTCTCTGCTGATGCCTCTTTCCCACCCAGGTTGGCAGCCCTGGGGTGTGGACCAGAGGCTGTTTGATGCATGTACCTAGGACCCCAAGTAAGAGGTACTCCCTATACTCTCCTGCAATTATCAGCAACTTTGTGGCTTGTTCCACGGGTAGATACTTCAAGGTGAATGGCCTGCATTGGGGGATGCTTGATTAGCCACAGCAGTCTGAATTCCAGCAGCAATGGGAGGCTTCAAGGTTTGCAACTTCCCTTTCTCTCTGAGGGGCCTGACCCGGGTGTCCATGTGTTGCAGTCTCCTCTGTGTCCATGAGCTTGTCCCATGCCAAGGCTTTTGAGCCACCTGCCACTTATTATTCACTGCCTGCTCATGGGGCAGCTCAGGTCACTCCCATTAGGGAAGAGGATCATGGCTGCCAAGAGGTGGAGCCAATTGGAAGATTGCCTAACTACTGCCACCTCTTCCATAAATAGTTGGTGACAATTAGTGGCCCATTTGAAAAAGATAATAGTACAAAATACATTATATGAAAAAAGCCACAAGTCTTCAGAAGATTTAGATTTAATCTCTGTCTCTCACGCACATGCCTTTTAATTTTTGTTTTTGGAGGCAGGGAGACCCTGGATCCCAACTGTCTATGTTCCAACTCACTATGTAGACGAGGCTGACCTCAATCTCACAGAGATCCACCTGCCTCTACCTCAGGAGTGCTAGGATTAGCCACCACACCCAGCAACCCCTCTCTTTTAAGGTACTATAAAAATAGTAGAAGAAAATCCATGACAATGCTTCTATGGCCTTTGAACAGAGACTTTGTAGAGATGATAGAAACCATAAAGGGAAACAAGAGAGCCTGACAATAGCAAGTTGTACGCTTGCATCATCAAAGGGGAAAGTGAAGCAGGAAGTGAGAGTCCCGCCACACTAGGACGGTCTTGGCCATACACATCATCTCATGTCTTGATTTAACAAGTGCTTTTTCTTATACATCTACCAGGAAAAAAAGCCCATAAAAATAAAACATTTCAAGAGAAAGAAGTGAATCAAATTCAGATTTACACATGAAAACAGACCTATAAAAAGTTGCTCAAACCCAAGGCTGGTGGCAGTTGCCTGGAAGGGTGACAGAAGTTATCAGGAGTGACAATGTCCTGGTCCTCACTTGTTGGTGCAGCTTTCCATAACACAATCTGGCTGATCTATTAACACTTAAAATACATACTCCCTTGGACTTTGCAATTCTAGTTCCAGGAATTTGTTCCAGGATATAACTGGGCAAATACTCAAAGATAAAGAGAGTGTACAGAAAACAAATAATACTTTGTCATACAGAAAACCTTAAACCCAAAAATCGTGAGTAGCTCTAACCAAACTCCATCTCTATACAGTGGTATATCAAAGTTACTTTGAATAATCTGGGCCTTGTGGCACAGGCCTCTACTCTTAGCGACGGAAGAGGCTTGAGGCAGAACAATTCCAAGTTCAAGGCCTGTCTTTCAAAATAAGTCTGGGCAACTTAGTGGAAACCTGTCTTAAAATAAAAAGTAAAAAGAGGGCTGGAGATGTGAATAAGTGGAGATGCTTGCCTAGAATATGCAATTTCTAGTATCCCCCATATACATTTTTTTTCTTTTTTGTCTTTTTGAGGCAGGGTCTCCCTGTAGCCCCAGCTTGTCTGGAACTAGCTATGTAGACCATGCCGGCCTTGAACTCACAGAGATCCGCCTGCCTCTACCTCCTGAATGCTGGGATTAAAGGCATGTGCCACCATGCCTGGCCCAAATACATATTTTTAAATAACTTACATTCATGATTTCTGAGTCCTTTTGATTCCAATTCTCTTCCATCAGTGCTAACCCAACAGAATCATGACTAGGCAAATGTGACTTAGCTCTGAATATATTATATAAAATACTAGAAACATAAAATGACTGTGGCAAAACAGGAAAAGCTTCTGGCCCAAGACTGGTGACTCTTTTTGCTCACTGTCACCAGGTTTATGTTGTATGTCTATGTTTTTATGACATTTATAATCCTAGTGGACTTCTAATTTTTCATCCAAAAAAACCCACTAGTTTTTTCTTCACTAATATAGAAGAATATATCTAGCACATGTCACATACATTTTATGACTCTCATTAGTAGATGTCACTGTTCCCTTGGGCCTTCAGTGTTATGAAGAATGCAAATACCCGCTTTCATTTTTGAAGGTTCCTGTACTTAGTTTAGACCCAGGGCATTTCAGAAGGGAGGTCTCTTTCAAATGTTTATCTAACAGGATAAACATTTGGCGCCATGCTTTCTAGATAAAGAGTCCTAAGATGACAGACTGATTTATAAGATGCTAGGAAAAAATCTGGGTAGTAGATCCCCTATGACAGCATCTAATCCCTATGACTATATGGTTTTTTTTTTTTTTTTGTCTTTTTGAGACAGGGTCTCCCTGTAGCCTGAGCTGTCCTGGAACTCACTATGTAGACCAGGATGGCTGGCCTTGAACTCACAGAGATCCGCCTGCCTCTGCCTCCCAAGTGCTGGGACTACAGGCGTGTACCACCACACCCGGCTATATAGTTATTTTAATAGATCAAAACCAACCAGAATCTACAAGAAAAATATATAATAAGTTCAGCAAGGTAGCAAGTGACAAGTCAACTTATACAGTGAATCATATCTACATCACACAGTCAATCACACCCAATAAGAATGGTCACCAGACACAGAAATGCTAAACCCAATATTGTTCACATTTCAAAAAAATGAAATACAGAAGTATGCAGTTGTCCTCTGTATGCATGAGTTCCACATATGTCCATTCAACTAACTGTGGATCAAAATAATATGTTTAAAAACATGTGTGTCTCCAGACCACACAATAGAAAAACATTTGCGTAGGTCTGATAAGTAATCTAGAGATAACTTGCAGTATACAGGAGGATATGCATGGGTGTAGTATGCATGTGAGTAGTGTGTTATTTTATGTAAATGACCCAAGTCACCTATATCTTTGGGTTTTGATGCCTGACACAGGTCCTGAAACCTGTCCCCTAGAGATATCAAGGGATAACTATGCACCCAATGAAACATGGACAGGATCTGTAGGCTAAAAATTATACAGTCTGTAGAGTGGGCCTGGAGAGATGGCTCGGCAGTTAGGAGCACTAACTGCTCTTCTAGGTTTTCAGTTCCCAGTACCCACATGGCGGCTAACAACTGTCCTTACCTCCACATCCAGGGATCCAACACCCTCTTTTGACCTCTGCAAGCACTAGATAAAATACT